TCAAGATTTTAAGGTTACACAGGGTGATGTACAAATGACCATTTTGCGGGTGAAGTGTTCCTTTTTTAAAGAGCCTGTTTCAGGTAGTATTTTCATAAAAAATATTGGATATGCGGATCATCCACATTATCACAAGTGTCACCTTACTTTTCACGCAGTGGATGGTTGATAGAGTTGTATGGAAGGTTTTTAATTTATTGTTAACAGTTTGAAGTTGCTCTAATGTTTTGAAGCAGAGAAGATTGGGTCGACACTGACATCTAGTGGTTCTGAGAGAAACCCCTGAGAGCACAAACACTGTCCTTAAAGCCTGAAGGATGTTGAACAAGAGGAAGGAGAACCAATGAAGTCATGAAAAGTGAAGCAAAAAGTGCCTTTGAGATGACATTTTTTAGTGTCTAGTTTACAAGAGCTGACCTTATATTTTACATGTGTTTTACAGCAATTGATGAAAGCAGTTTGTATTGAATCAAGTGACTGTAGCTTGAAGTTTGAAAATTCGTAGTTGAATAACTTTTTAGAGTTTTTGTGTTTTATAATTACAGATAAGTGTGTTGCACAGGTTAAGATTATGCTGACTTTAATATAACACGATGAAATCTTACACCACGGTACAGATTTAATGCTGTTCAATCAATCAGAATGTCTTTTGTCTTTTACTTGAACTGAAAGTGTTTGAAGTGTGTCGTCACATGAGTTAAATAACTTAAACACACTGAAAATGTGTTGCCTATTTTCACAAATGCACGCCATGTGATAACATATATTAAGAAAATTAAGTTTGGACTCGTAAAGATGCTGTTATTCTTCAGTCACCAAGTGCAGTCACTATATTGGATAATTCATGCAAATCTAGATATCGAAGTCTTAAAAGAAGTGGCAATAATACTCAAAATTATACATTTAGAAATACTAAATGGTGTTGAAACAAAGTAAATCTTACTTTGAATCTCAAGATGTTCATGAAGATTTTGAAATGTCAAGACATTTCACTCAATATTTTAGCTTTTTTTTTTAACATTTCTTTGGCCCTCTGAAGATGTTTTTATTCTCCAAGACTGTATTTCAAATCTAGGATCATCATTTGGGATCTCAACTTCAAAAATTCCTATAAGATTGCTTCTAAAGGTATTTTATATTATCATCGGCTGATTCCACACCCCAATATTCAAGTTAACATTGAAGCTAATAATCAAACGTTTGAAAAACTTAGTCCAGAAGTTGTCCTGTTCATCCCCGACGTTCAGATCCTCCTGTTATATTTTGGATTTGTGTTGTTGCCGCAGTGTGACCCCAGCTGGCTGTATCAGCTTTCAGCCTGTGCCTTATTTTAGCCTCAGCACTAATCACCGCTCGGCCTCTTAACGTGACGAACTACGGCCGATCTCAAAGTGAAAATGTCTTTGTCCGCCCTCCCCATCCAGGAATAGCTGAGTTGGATTAGTCACATCTGTGTTGTGTGGACGAAGAATTGTGGTTAGAAACGATTGGATGACGGATATGTGAGACGATTTGGTCAATTTATTCATATTTGTTGACATGTTATGACTGATGCAGTTCTGTGGAGTTACAGCAGGAAGAGTTATGGTGACTTTTGTAAGCAGGAAGGGAAAGTTTTGAGCGAGAAAATTAAAAAAATGCCAAGTCATGCATGATTTCAGACAAAGTATTCTGTATGTAGATTGACAGAAAAGTGTGAGTTAAAATACATTTGTTGTGTTTGTGTGTCTGCTTTACACTGACCTTTAACCTCTTGCTTTTTGTAACAGCCAAATGACATTTTGATGCAACATTTACTGTGATAGCAACGATGAGTTTTTAAGGGATGAACCTGATTTTTGTAGTTTTAAGATTATAACGTTTTCTATCCAGATGTTTTTTACACACTCTGTAGTAGTCTGCTTTAACGGCAAACAAACGTACTAATAACAAGACAGTTTTTTCTGAGCACGAAATAAAAAAAATGTTTGTAATTGTGTCTTGTACCTGAGATGTTTTTATCATACTCGCACTTTGATCATTGAATTATTTTAGCTGTGGGGCTTTTTTTCATAAATCAGTAACAAATATGTACAGTATGTCTGTTGTATGTTTCAAATTGCCTCATTTAACTGCAGGTGTGTGTGTGTGTGTGTGTGTGTGTGTGTGTGTGTGTGTGTGTGTGTGTGTGTGGGTGATGCCATTTACAGTGATGCACTCAAATTGTAGTCTAATAGTCTTTAGAATCGGTCGATTCCATAGGGATTAATCGTTTATGACTGATTTATAATGCTTTTCCCCTTTAAATAAGTAATATAATAACATGTTCCTACTTTAAACGCAGCTTTGATGATTTTTTAAAGTGGTTTCTTAAACGTTTGGTAGTGTTTTCAAGTGTTTGTCCCGAGATACGACATCAAAGTTTTGTAAAAATTGCGCGAAAGTTTTTGAAGCTCATTTCCGGCACCTTTATGTGCACTTTTCGGGCAGGTTTTTGGGGAGGTTGTCAGGGGCGTGGTGTGTCACCGGACAGGCTGATGACTCTGTGGATTCACTCATGCATGGTCACACAATGTGACAGTCCAGACATGGCTGGAAACGGGAGGCAGCTCCGTTTGACCGAGCCCCATCTCCGACTCCAAGCCGCCTCCAAAAACTAACAACAAAAGGACAACTTTTTCTTTTGCGCAAGTTACCGGACCCGGGACAAAAGAGCGAGACCGGAGACGATTGTGCACGAGAGAGTTTGAGAGGCAGGGTTTGAAGAAGAAGAAAAAAAAGCTGAGAGAGAAGCGACAGGTTGGGAGGGTCGCTGCAGGTCTACACACTTTCCAACCCAAATGATGGCACCAAAGATGGCAGATGGATTTGCTTTCCCTATCTAAGTATGACATCTCCGATCTAAAGGTATGACGGATAAAAACTGCCATGACAAGAATATCCTGGGCTGAGTGAAGTAAGATCAATTAAGTGTTATCTCATATTAATTAAGAATGGCTTCGGTTTGACTAAACAATAAGAAGGGACACAAAAGCCTGACAAAGCTTAAAGGGAGTCTGGGCTCTGGCACAGTCTGTATTGTCAGCCTGATGCAGGTATGGCTTTGTATTTGAACCTGGCTCTGTCTGTGAACATTCACCACCAGCCGGCAGAAATGCCTCAAATACCTGTGAAACTCAGAGAAAATCTGTCAAAGAATGGCACTAATAATTTAGCCATCAGCCAATGGTACATGGCTATCTGGGTTTAAGTGTTCCCTATTCTTATACCACTTATTATCCTAAAAAACTATAGTTGTATTAAGTATTTAAAAGAAAAAATGTTCCATACCATTTTGAAATTCCTTGAAATCATCTAGAAGCTTTATTAGTGTAATCTGGATAGATTTTGTATACATTATTTATAGAAATAACAGAACTTCTTCATGTATTCTTTAGTTTTATATACTCAATTTGATTTAAACTCAAAGCCCTAAAGAAAGGAAATTAATTTCTGTCCAATGACTAATGTTCTTTCTCTTCCAGGTGTCATACATATTGTGAGCCCTAGTCGATGGATTTATTACCTTTAATTCAAGAATATTTTAGTAAGTTTCTCCTCTGTGTGTTGAATTTGCTGTATGAATATTATTTGTTCCGTGTTTAAAATATGTAAAGGATAGCAACAGGCCCTACCTTTCTCCTAGCACATTTATCAAATGTATACTCCATAAGTGGACAGAGAATATATATGTACCCATAAAGACTAACTTGGTTTACCAAAAACTGAAAATGTTGTTGAACAAACTTAGTTTACTTCGTATAAAATCTTTGACATTATATTTCAGATATAGTGCAAAAAAAGGTGTTAATTAGTAGATTAATAATTGTTTAATTTATAGTTATAGTTATATTATAGTATATTAATAGTTATTAATCTGGCAAAATGTTCTGGATTCAGCTTTTAAAATGCTTATTTTCTCTTTTTTATGAACTTATTTGGGACTGTTCTAACAATTGAAGCTATTTAACGACATTAACTTGGATTTGTATGAGACTTTAAAGACTGAGTTATTGAATTAACCAAAAAAAGATTTGAAGATGAATTGGTATTGACCAATGCAAATCTTTTTAATTTACAATATCCACATTTGGTGTTTTTAAAAACTTAAAAACTGCTTATTTCTCAAAGCAGAATCTGTCATACAGTATCGTATTATCTTTATATTTCGTAATTACAGTAAAGTATTTCCATTTGAACCCTGTGGCGTTAGTGTTACAGTTGACAGGCAGCGAGAGGAAGGGAGGGTGGTGTGTGTATGTGTGTGTGTGCGTGTGTGTGTGCGTGTGTGTGCGTGTGTGCGTGTGTGTGCGTGCGTGCGTGTGTGTAGGTATTTGTTTCTGTGTGTGTGCATGTGCCACACCAGAGCCCCATTGCTGCTAAATGCTGTTTTCGAACATTATAATGTTGATCTCAGCACATGCCTGCTGAGCAGTGGAGCGAGCAGGTGAGAGAGAGACAGAGAGCGAGAGAGAGAGAGAGAGAGCGAGAGAGCGAGAGAGAGAGAGAGAGAGAGAGAGAGAGAGAGAGAGAGAGAGAGAGAGAGAGAGAGAGAGAGAGAGAGAGAGAGAGAGAGAGAAGAGAGAGAGAGAAAGGGAGAGTGAACCAGGGTTCGGTCAAACAGCTGGCCTATACAGTAAAAGAGCTGCCAAAAAGCGTCTGTGTGTGAAAGCTGTGTTTAGATTTGGTATCGATATCCGACGCCTACGTAGCAGTTTTTCTATAAAGACCTTGTTCTGCTAAGCGTTTTATGAAAAAGAGAAAAATGTTGGAGTTCAGTCGTCACCTCCACCGTCCTCCATGTGTCTATGTGTGTGTCCACATGTGGAGATCGGGGGTAAGGCCTTGATGATTCATATTTAGGTGAACTTTGAGAGGAGATTCACACACATCTCTTTTAACTTGGTTTCTTCTTTTCCAATCCTTCCCATTCTTTTCGACCTCCAGCCTGTACTTTCTCCATAGGCTAGAAATCGTGAAGCATGGGCGACTGGAGCTTTCTGGGGCGGCTGCTGGAGAACGCTCAGGAGCACTCGACGGTCATCGGCAAAGTCTGGCTGACCGTCCTCTTCATCTTCAGGATCCTGGTGCTGGGGGCCGCGGCCGAGGAGGTGTGGGGCGACGAGCAGTCCGACTTCACCTGCAACACGCAGCAGCCCGGCTGCGAGAACGTCTGCTACGACGAGGCCTTCCCCATCTCGCACATCCGCTTCTGGGTGCTGCAGATCATCTTCGTGTCCACGCCGACCCTCATCTACCTGGGCCATGTGCTGCACATCGTCCGCATGGAGGAGAAGCGGAAAGAGAAGGAGGACGATTCGCACAAAGCACACCGGTTTCAGGAGGAGAAAGAACTCCTTTATAGAAACGGAGGAGGAGGAGGAGGGGGAGGTGGCGGCGGCAAGAAGGAGAAGCGGCCGATCAGGGACGAGCACGGAAAAATCCGTATCAGAGGCGCGTTGCTGCGTACTTATGTGTTCAACATTATTTTCAAGACCCTGTTTGAAGTGGGATTCATTTTGGGCCAGTATTTCCTCTACGGCTTCCAGCTGAGGCCCCTGTACAAGTGTGCGCGTTGGCCCTGCCCCAACACCGTGGACTGCTTCATATCCAGGCCCACGGAAAAGACTATTTTTATTATATTTATGCTTGTGGTGGCTTGCGTGTCTCTTTTGCTGAATTTGTTAGAGATCTATCACCTTGGATGGAAGAAAGTTAAACAGGGCATGAGGAAAGAGGCAGCCCCTGACCGAAAGTCGCTGCGCAGCGTCAACATCGCCGAGCCCAAGTGTTTGCCCTCGGCCTCCAGAACTGCCCCCTCCAGCCTCAGCTACCCCCCCAACTACACGGATGTGACGGGGGGCAGCTGTGCCTTCTTGGGTCCGGCGGCCGTGCCCTCAGCGGAGGAGTTCAAGATGGAGGAGCTCCAGCAGGAGGAGCCCTCCCCCTCCTCCCACTACTACATCAGCAACAACAACAACCACAGGCTGGCCGCGCAGCAGAACTGGGCCAACCTGGCCACCGAGCAGCAGACTCTGGAGATGAAGGCCACGTCCCCCTCCCCATCCTCCTCTTCCTCTTCCTCCATTGACAAGGAGCAGCAGCAGAGTGTGGACGCAGCTCTGCTTCCTCCAGCCAGTAACACCACCAGTAAATCCAACATCCACAACTCCACCGCCGCCTCCTCCTCCAGCATTAGCCAGGGCACGGTGTCCAACGCTGGCAGCTGGAGCGGCGGGGGGAGGAGCGATCAGGAGGAGGGGTCCGTCACCACCACCACTGTGGAGATGCACGAGCCCCCAGTGATGGTCACAGACCCCCGGCGGCTCAGTCGGGCCAGCAAGAGCAGCAGCATCCGGGCCCGGCCGAGCGACCTGGCCATCTAAACCTCCCCCTCCCTTTCATGTCCCTGAAACCCTCCTTTTCCTCCAAACCCCCAAAATACAGTGATTCTCAGAGATAGAAATCCCACACCTGCAAAAGAAAACACACAAAAAAACGGAAAACCAAAAGAAGGCGAGGTGACAGAAGACAGGGAAGCAGAAAAAAGGTTTAATGTGAAATGACTTGACCAGCAGCAGCAGTCGTTGATTTAGTGCAATCGGTGAGTTGCAGAGTAGGTTTTTTTTTTTTGGATTGTCTTAATTTATGCACATTAAATGTGACCATGCAGTGCTTATGAAGTCAGAAGGCTCAGCTCACAGGGATTGGTGGAGCGAAAGACATTGTGATGTCATAGTTTTGCATCAAAATGGACACATCTCACCAACGTGTTTGGTTTGGGGGGGGGGAAGATCTCATGGAGTTTCTCTATTTCCTTTTTTCCTTTCTTTTTTGTTGAGCCCAAAGGACTACAAATGAAAATGATCATTTGTCAAAAACAATGACTGGATATTTTTTTTTTATCTGGAGGAGGCACAGGTCGCTGGCATTGTTGTACAGATAAGTAATTCCATGTGTCGCCAGACAATTTGCTTATAAAGCTTGTTCTTCATTTTCCTCTGGTTTCACAGTTTAATCTGCAGCAGACTGCCTGGTCCAGCGTTTGTCTTTGACCTAGAAGGTCTTTTGCCCACGCACGAAGAAATATCATCAGCAAACATTACATGTGTTGTGTTCCCTGTGCATGCCAGCATGTGTAGCCCTACAACTCACCGATTCACAGAGAGATCCTCATGGCAACGCTGGCTAGCTTGGTTTACCCATGATCCACTGCAGAGACAATACATATTTAATTGAGATTAAATGGATAGCAATGGACTGGTGTGGTATTCCCAGAGTCCTCAGCATACTGTGGACGGGATAGGTCAAACCTGCTGGTAAAGTAATCCCTTTGATTCCCAGAATGCACCTGGGTAACTACAAGCACTACATTCTCAATAACATAGACATCGAAACGTTTCCACATTGCTGTTAGTTTACAAAAGCCTTCCTCTGTCAGCGTTGCCTTCAGGCACATGTCTAAAAAGACTAAATCTCTCTACTAACTGCACAAAGAGATATTGCCTTCAAACTATCTTTAAGATATTATACAACTGCATGGCAGCCATTATCTAATATAAAGAAAAACAATATTGTCCTTATACCTTCAGACAAAATACTTCAAACTAACATTTTAACATTCCCCCCTTTTAATCATCACACCAAAATATTAAGAGCAAGTTTGGGGGTTTAACAATTTCCACCGTCACTCATTTCATCATTGGTTTTACTCTGAAAAGTGCTATTTTTATTTATTTAATATTACTCGGAAATTGCATACTTGTTGTAGTCAGAAATACAAATGCAGTCGACCTTAACGGCTTCTATTTTGTTGTGTTCATCTTAATTCAGAGATCTTTAGAAACCCACAGTTTGAGCAGCAGTCTCTGTCACTGTGCTGTCACTCCCAAAAACCAGACACCTTAACCCGCTGTTTCACCCTGTGAGTCACCTCTTGGTCAACATTTAAAGTAAAAAGTCAATTCCTCTACAAATCTGCATCGGGCATTTTGCATTCACCAGGCAAAACAAAGCGATTAAGTATTAATATGTTTGTGCATTTTATGGAAAAACACTTTTCCTGAAGTTAATGTGCAGCTTAATACACTGGAGAAAGAGCAAAGTGGTACCAGCTGTTTAATTTGTATTATTTTTGGGGACGGGGGTTACAAAAAGATGGTACTGTATGGTGTAAGAGTATCTGTACCCATATCGGTATAATGTCTCATCACAGCGCATGAGTAAAAGCAGCCTTTCCAAATCCATGTTTCTTGTTCAAAAAAACAAAAAAACTGTTATCTGCATTTGTTTTTGATCCCTAAAGTTTACATTTTGGTAGTTGATAAAGATTTGCACATTTAGGAAAAGAAAAATTGCTGTTCTACGATGCTGATATTGGTAGTAGTAGTATATAGAGAGAGAGAGAGAGAAAGAGAAAGAAAGAGCGTGAGAGAGAGTGTGACGAGAAAACTGCCAATCTCTATGATCCCCAAAGGAAGAAATGTCTTAAAACAAAGTGGCTCCTCACAGAGAAGGCAGTATTAACAAAAACACTTATTCATCTCAAACTCAGATCAGTCTGAAGATAACAAATTAAAACTACATTGGGAGAGAGAGAATAAACAGAGGGGTGTTTTTCTGTGTTCACGCAGTTTGTTCTCACAGACGGGACTCCTGACTGGATGTTGTGTTCAAGGCCCGTCGTTCCTCGTGGCTCCTGGGAAACTCTCTCCTCTTACGTTTCATGCAGAGCGAGATTTCTGCGGCTCGTCAGGAGGAAACCATCTCACAGCAACCTGTCTCAATGCTGTCTTAAACAAGAGAAGTGCCTTGTGTATGAATGATTCTTTTGTAAGAACAAGTTGATGTAAATGTTCATTTACCTCAAATGTTTACAAAACTGTAACTAAATAAATTTTTTGTACCATAATTGTTCTCGCTTTTATTAAAATGTTCCATCATTATCGATCCTACAGAGAAATATGCTGTGAGTTGTAGACTTGACTAAACACTATCTAGTTTTAAGGTTTAATCAGATAAAATTAAAATGGTAATAAGTTAATTGTAATTGTAATTGAGGCCTCAGCTAAAAAAAAGTACATGTACCAATCTGAAAAAATGCAATAATATACTAAACTTGCTTTTTATACTTAAATTACATTTTTTACATTATTGTGTTTGTACTAATTCCCAAGAGGCAAAGATTAGAGATGAAACCGATGTACAACTATTACAAAATATATAAATATTTACTTAAAACAACAACATAATTATTGCCTTCAAAATGAAAGTATCTGTTGATAACAATGATAATGAAATAAATCATCTTACATTATAATAAAATGCCCTTTAATAATTTTAAGTTGTGTATGAAGTGAACTTCTGAGGACTTTTGAGGTTGTGACTTTACCTGAAACTTTGAGCAAAAGAGGCCCAACTTTTTTCTCCAATTTGTCTTTGAGGTCTTTTGTCTCATAAGAGAACAGTCAGTTAAAGATGGGCTGTGTTTTTGAACATACGTTTCTCTCAATGAGTCTTTGAGGCTTCTCGTTCAGATTCGATGGTGAAGTCTCTTCCAGATGTTTCCTCTGTCGTCAGGATTTCTACCCGCCCTCCAGCTACCAGTTGTCTGGAGGGAGAAACACGGTTATTACTCACAGGACAAAACCTTTCGTATAAGAAATAAAAACTAAAAAGGTCACATCTTCAGTCTTCACAGGCAGCTGTGATATCAGCTGAGCGAAAACCCCCGCCTCAAGATAAAACTATGTACCCACGAGAATATAATAACACTCTACAAGAAAGGGAAAACCCCAAAAAGTATAAAAAGGTAATCTTTAAGAAAATTCAGGTCAGGTCTATATAAATGATGAAGTGATGTTCTGCCCACATTAACATCAGGAGGGTTTCTTTGGCATCACTCTCTCTGTAGACTCTTTGACCTCTGACTCCCCCCTCCCTTTGAATTCCCACAGCGAATGTCACAATGTGAAGCTGAGCCAAAGACACCAGGCCCACTTCAATAACCACATCCAGGAATCATTAAAATGAGACGGACATGTCAGTCTCGCACCTGAGAGTCAAACATCTCTCATAAACTCACCTTCTAAAGAGCGGAGATAATTAACAACACAGTGTCATACATGAGAGGGGGGGAGGGGGGGGGGGGGCGAAATGAACAGCTGCTGGGAAACCTTTTGAACTTTGGGCAAAGCGGGCATCAAAAAAACACACTCGTATACATGGAGAGCATAAGTGGACTTACTGAAAGATAAAGTATACTGTAAGGGTTCTTTCGGTCATCATAAACAGATTGTCATGTCCACAATAGCTCGAGTTAGTTGTCCCAAGCTCAAACAACAGTGCAACATACAATAGGCTTAAGGCGCAAAAAAAAAGACATTCAAAAATAGTACAAGTGAAATGCAGAAATACATCAACTATGTACATTTGCAAAGAATAAGAACTTAATGTAAAGTGAAATACTGTAGAGTGGAAGGAATCAAAGTTTAAAAATACACCTGTTTGTGATATGTGGGTTTCACCTCAGCCTAATATTAGTTATATCATTTTAATAGCCAGTACTATAAGCAACATTTTGTTACTTGACACTAAGAGTAATCAGATCACAAAGTGGTCTAGCAGACTGATTGGTGAGCCACAGCTAAACCTGGAGACCCTCATAAACCTCAGGCAGTTACAGCGGTTATCCAGCTCTAATGATGACTCCCACCCTCTGCACTCAGAATTCAAGCTTCTTCCTTCAGGAGGTTAGATGTCCCAAAGTGTAGAACAAGGCGGTAAAAAAACAGCTTTTTACCGGCAGCTAAGGATTAACTCGTAGCAGTATCACACGGATGTTTATTTATTTATCAACTTCCATCGCCCATGTTTGTACTAGTGTTTTTATGTAATGGGGCATGGTAAATAAAGTAGGCCTACTTTTATTATAGATTTGTCTGTTGTCTGTGTTCGGGCACTAATAAATAACCTGAACCTGAACCTGAACATATTTAGAAGAAAAGGGCATCTAAGAACGGACTGTTGTTGCGTTGAACATTCCTGTTTCCCATATTCAACACAAATGGGGCGAAGCCTGCGAGCTAGTTCAGGCAGTCAACTCGAGCACCAATGATACATTAACACATGACGCGTCTCTCTTACAACCAACCAAACACAATCTCCTAAACTTGCTGCTCTATTTAAGCTGCCAGATCTGCCTGCCTCTGCCTCGCTAATGCTGTTGCTCTGTCACATTGCTGATGCGTTCACGTGCTGCTGCTTGCCTGCCCCACCACCACCCCAGCTTCCACCTGTAGGCTTGGGGGGATAGTTACAGTATCTAATCATCACTCAATGTTCTTTGTAAATCTGTGGAGTGATGAGGCCCGAGCCTAGACGCCAAACTCAAACTATATGCTGCTTCTAATAAACATATAAGAAACACGTGAGTTGTCTGACTGAACTCAAAAAGTTGCATGTTATTGTCCGTTTCTAAATAAAACTATTTAACACAGCTGTAGTAGGACGTCCCTGCTCACTCTCTTTATAAGCTAAGGGGTAAACATGGGGAACAACACCTCTTGATTGTTTTTTAAACTGAATGTGTTTTAAGTCTTCATTCTTCACTGTGAAAAAAGGGCTGAGCATTAGGATCTGGAATATTTGGCATGCAGTCTGACAGCAGCAGGCTACATGAGTGCTGGCTCTTGGTTACAGTGGCTGCAGAGTGATGGGAGAAGATAGTGGATCTGATAGTGGATCTGTTGGTAGACTGACGGAGGCCTCCACCCGTCACTCACTCACCAAATAGGGCCAAACAGGCTCAATGCTTTTCAGGGACACTGCAGAACTTCTTTGATTCATAACTTCAGAATCTTTTTTAAATAAAAGCCATTTGAACCTGATGTGGTGAGGTCAGAAAGGTCAAAGGTCACACCGGTAGTGAACACGGGTCAATACATACGAGTTATTCCGATCCAAATATACTACCAACTACACATTTCTCCCTCAGTATGTTCTCCCCAGATCACAGCGTTAGACTTATTAAGAAACGGGATTGTAACACTGCCATTGTGTCTGACACCTGGAGCTTCGATATAACAGCGCTTAGATTATTTGTTGGGCATTTTTATA